TTTCACGGAATCGATAAATTTTGAAAGTTAATTCGAAGGCTACTTAGCTTCACCGATACCACTGAACGCTAGATAAATAATCTTCATCTTAATAAGTAAAACAAATACTACTTTGAATATATCGGCTTGTGATCATTAACGTGTTTATCTTACCGCTTCTCCATTACGATGATAGCTTTTCAAGAGGTATTTTTAAATTTTTATCTAACTCAGAGGTGAAGCTTTTTAATTGACATTAGAGAGCAGCATATCTAATCCTCCCTAGCAATGGCGCGGGCAGTAGAAGTCTGCTTCCTAATAGCTTTCTCTAGCCTCTCGTACATGTGAAAACGCTTTTGTTTTCGCGTGAACACGAGGTTAGTCAGTCCAGAACAATAGTCATTCATGTCGGTCTCCACATTTCGAYTCAGTGTATATTCCTTGTTTTTTAGATGATGGCTAAAGCCCCGTTTACACTAGCGAGTTTTGCGCCGATTTTTGATGGGATTTTTTCGGCGATCCTGTCCACAATAAATAATGGTAAAGAATTTACTTGTAAAGTCTTATTCAGGATACCAAGATTTTCCTAGACGAATGTCTCTTTTGAAGGATGACACAAAAGATTTTATATTTCCGAAAATTGCCACAAAAATCGCAGCAAAAATCGCAGCAAAAATCGCAGCAAAAATCGCAGCAAAAATCGCAGCAAAAATCGCAGCAAAAATCGCAGCAAAAATCGCAGCAAAAATCGCCGCAAAAATCGCCAGTGTAAACGGGGCTTAAGAAAGCAAAAAGGTTGGTTTAGTGATCGATGCGTAGCCGGATTTCTATACTTGAGTTACCTATCGCATCAAGGAAATATTTCACGAACATTTGATGAAATCATGCAGTAATCGTTGCATCACAAACCCCCGCAATAAGACGGTAATTTCAGAAACTTATCAAGATCAGTGGAAGCCAGTGTATCATAACGATCTATGCCATTTTAGGACATTCTAGAAATCAGCTTATTGAAGATATCAGGTTTTCTTCTTTATCTGCAAGTGAAAGTGGATTTCTATTCTCGGGTAAACGTTTACGTGCCGTCGCGTTAAAACTGAAGTCATTTGATCATATCTTGTGAATAGTCGGTTAATCAGCAAAGTTCTTTGGTATCGTAATCCTTCCTTCGTTTACAAAYTTTCTCATTTGGATTGACGTTTGCTTGTTTGGACACATTTTTTTCCAGTTTCGTCACTCATGCACGGTCGTTGGCTACCCGGCTTAAAGGGTCTCGCTAGATCTATAACGCAAAAGGAAAAAAATGCAATTAAGATTTAAAAACAAAGAATCGAGACAACGGGAATTTTGCACTAAACTCTTTGGTCATCAGAATCACACAAACTCAACTGATGACATACTAGCTCCGACTTTAGTAATCACGCTCACGTGATTCAAAATCGTTTCATTTTTGCGCACGTTTTCTTCGTTTGAAAACGATAGATATCATCTAGATATGCCGGGCTGTCTGTCTGATAATACTAAGCCGAATACAGAAAAACTAATGATGCTGCAAGTTTTAAAACATGTTTTTGATCGTCCGCTTGGCGAGGTTTAAGTTCGGGCTTCGGGGTCGGTTTCTGATATGGATGTGCCAGGTAGCTTTCGCCTTTCGCCACCATTACCAACATGAGACGGGCTCTATATTTTATATATCTATATTATAGTTTATCTCTGATCGCACATGCCTGTCGTACTTATAAAGCGGGTTTCTGAATCAGACAACAATCACGATACCCGAAACWAATAGCAGATATCTACYAGCTCACTAGATACACCTTGCTGACGAGGCCCAATACAGGCCGAAACAGCTGTCCACGGTTTCTAGTTGAGCTGGCTCATTTTTTACGMGACATGAAGTTGTGAAAGGCCCATTGGCCYTCTTCTTCAGTCGTTTCAYACAAGGCTCGTAATTTACYTATTACGCATGTGCATATTTATAAATTTGATTTGTGTTTCTTCAAGCATATTCAGCTTTCTGGGGGGGAAAATTCCGAGCTCCAGGCATTAATTTAGTTTTTTTAACACGAGGGTGTGTTGTTCCATATCTAGGGTTTTAGTAAAAAGTCRTCCATGAAAGTCCAATGATAATGAAGTCAGATATTTCCAATTCATTTGCTCACCRACCAAAACATCAATCAACGGTGTCATTTCTAAACCATCCGGCTATTTTAAATGTCATTAGCACTTTTTAAATAGTACATATATGCCTTGTAATCAGTTTAGTTATCTGCAGGTTTGCAGGAGTAGAATTAATCCCATTATCACCCAACTTCCAACCTAAATGGAAACCAAACAAACCAAACAAACACATTGGTTATACAAGCGCACATCACTTAGTTCCTCAATGGCAAGTTTTCACCAATGACATTGATTTTTATCGAGTTAAAAATACTAAATCAGCTCCAAAACGCTTAAAATGTCAGCCTTGCTGGAGTAATCTTGTGTGTGTGGCGAAGACTAAGAAACATATAGACGTAATTGTCAAGTTGGGTTCTTTTGTTTCCTAGAGTCGGATTAGGCAAACCAGCCCAGCAAAAACGGAAACTCTTTTGACAATGATAGCTTAAAAATTACAGACGAAACATATGTTGAGAGGAATTACAACAGCTCTATTAGTGATAATTTGCAAGGTTGACAGGCACAAAACGACCAGAATATTCCAACACTTCAAAGTAATCAAAGTCTTTTCTTCTTTCATTAGGCCACAAGTATACACCATCGTCATTCTGCTCTTACGAAAACCAAAAAGAAACATAGAAGCTGTGATTTTTTTCTGGGTTGAAGTTCTACAACCGCAAAACAAGCTTCGTGGATTTGGTTGACAATCAGCGGCTGTGAAGATTTCTTTGTTCCACGAAAGCTGTTTTCACCTTGCGTCTGTTCTGGTCGCATGGAAAAAGTACACTGAAGAACGTGTTCGTGCGTTTCTTACGAAATAACGACCAAGAGAAAGTATAATAAGTATAATCCACATCGTCTGAAATACTCAGTGTCACTAACTGGCTGGAGTAATCGTCAAGTGGAAGAGACCATTTGCTGGAAAAAAAATTCCGTTGGACGTGACAACCTTAAGGCAGGTCATTTTATCAGCGTAGCAATTCAGAGAAGCAAAAACAAGTCCATGCTGAGTAATAAATGAGACAAGAATATTGCTGGCATCAAAAGAACAAGGCAAAAGCAATTTTGAAAGTAATTTTGATGGACACATAAAACAGATAATTGCCTTTTAGTCGCAAAAGATTCCGATAACTAAACCCCCAGCATCATCTGTAGATTTGCAGACAATATTTTACAAGAATTTTTCTAGCATCAAAAGAACAAGGGTAAAACATCTTTGAGGTAATTCCGAGGGACACGAAAGGAATAATTACTCTTCACAGAATTTCATCATAGGCCTAAATCCTTCAAGCAACATCTGTGGATTATCAAACAAGATTTTTTCGATATAAAGCACGAAAAAGATTTTTAAATACTTTACTTTTTTAGAGACATAAAAAGAGGCAGCTTCTTCGAAGGCATTCTGACAGTGTGAATCATTTCAGGGGTGGAGATCTACAAAGTAAAGACAGGTAAAGCAACTAAATATAATAAAGCGAAGAAAAAATCCTTCTTTGTAATCTGAACGACCAAAACAAGATGAACTCCACTTCAAACCTATCTTCGATTGTGGCAAGTGACCACATTCCTCCCGACGCTTCGCTGGGATTCGTAATCTTCAAAATAATGATCTACGTTGTGATAGTTGTCATGACTATGGTAGGAAATGTACTGGTGATCACCGTGATCCGTTACGACAAGAAAATGCGTGGTTCGTCTCATATTCTCATCCTGAACCTTGCAGTCTGTGATTTGATCACTCCGACCATCAGCATTCCATTTGACCTGGCTTATGAGGAGCTTAATTACGCTTGGCCGTTTGGTGGTGTCATGTGTAAGATGCTGTGGCCTGGTCAGACGTTTACGACGACTTCGTCGGCTTTAATTCTTACTGCTATTTGCATTGATCGATATAGAGCATTGGTCTATCCATTTAAGGTTCGTTGGGCGGGAAAATTTTGCCTAATGGTGTTCAGCATGTACACCCTCGCTCTTGTTATGGTGGTACCATACATGCTCGTTTTGCATCTCGACGAAGGAGGCAAAAACGTTGATTGCTCAGAAAAATGGCCAAGTCCACAGAAAGCCTTTAGGAAGGCGTACACCATCGTTCTCTTTCTTTCTCAATATGCGCTGCCTTTGGTTATAATGATCACCTTATACTCCATCACACTTCGAAGCCTCTTCAACAATTCCAAGCAGTTTCTTTCAGAATCGAATATAATGAAAACGGGCAGTCAGATTCGGCATAAGAGTCGCGACGATAGTCAGCGGGAGTTGTCACTTCAGGAAATTCGCAAAGAACAGCATCTTAAAGTGACTAAGATGTTCATCACTGTTGTCATCGTTTTTGCTGTCAGTATGTTTCCGAATCAAGTGCTGTGGCTTTGGGTTGATTTTGGGAACTTGGTTAATAACGAGTACTTCCCTATAATCGCCATCATTTGTAGAATCTTCACCTATTCTAACAGTGTTCTTAATCCATTTATTTACGGGCTGTATAGCAAAGACTTTCGTAGCGGGTACAAAAAAGCGGGAAGAAAGATATCAAAGGTCAACAAAAAGCATCAGGCGTGGTATCATCGCTTCAATGGGACGGGTAGAAGTCAGTTCCAGAGTTCGTGTATTTCACGGGCCGGCATGGATGAGGGGAAGACTTTTATAAATAGGAATAAAAAAACGTCCAGTGGTTCCAACCAAGGGTCTTCTATGAATCAGAGTAAGGAAATGTCTCCTCTAGAAGGGGGTTCCAACTATTCCAAAAAAGAAAAGAGCATTTTTGACGAACAAAACCACCTACTTAACAAAAAGGGTTTTTCAGTGGGAGACGAAACGAGTTCGGCCCGTGTGGAAACAAGACCTCAAGTTTCGGCCGATCCTAAAGACTTCACTCAAACTACGCAATGTGAAGAGACATTAACAGCTCTCGAGAATAAAGTAGAGCAAGCAGTGGAAGAAGAGAGTGGGGAACAGGGAAAAAAAGGTTGTTCCTTGTGTGATACTGAAGAAAAAAGTGACAGTGATTTAATAACGAATATTTACAAGCGCATCAAAAGTCAAAATGCAAATAACGAGAACCGTACTAATAATCGAGAAAGCTTAAATACAGATTTAGCTGATTACCTTAATGAACTGGCCGAAACGCAGTGTTAGATAACCTTAGAACTTCAAAGAGCATTCATGGTTAATTGCATTTAAAAACGTCGTATTTTCGGCGACAACACGAACTCGCGTGTCTTTTAGGGCGCTTCCCATTAAATCGGAACCGATCTCTCCGAACGGCCAGTTCTCAAATGGTACCCGTTACTCCATGCCAGTTCTTAAAAATGTTTCGGGCCTCGTTGGTCCAGAAAGATGCGAACCATTTCAGAAATGAGCGCTCGGACCGATCGGTTCCGTGACTTAATTGACCAAAATCGTAATTCAAAAATTGGGTGCAATGCGTACCGTTTAGAGACAAGTTTTTACCGTTGAACTAGTACTCTTTCAGTTTCAACTACAAATTTTCATTTAGCGTGCGCCGCTGCACACAGTCTCCAGGTAAAAGTCGCTTAGCATCATTCATCTTCATATATAAATTTCAAATATTATGTAAATATGTCTGTACATTAGCCACTTTCTGGTGCGCTTAAATTATGTGACTACCTAAGCTTGGTAGTGTAAACGAAAGGTTAAATCACTTAATTTAAGAAGGATTGGCTTAAGGATAGTTTCAATGAATCACAGTCGTAATATATATGTGTGTAATAGGTAAGGAAGACATGAAACCGACACTTAACGTCGATCGCTGCAAAGAAGACGAGGAATTTTGTTTGGAGAAGATGGGGGCTGCCAAGAAAATGCCAAGAATTGGTCATTTTTCCCTTTTGAAATTAATTTTGCGCTTTTAGGAATTCGCGAAAACGCACTGATATCAATGGATGAGCCGTGCTACATATAAGGAAAGTTGGCGACAGGTTTTTGAGAAGAACATTTGATACTCTTGCTCTTTCTGTTACTCTTTTTCTAATATGGCGAGCATATGGATGACAACATCAATGAACCTACCATGACGTAGTCTCCCTCGCATACTAAAAACGGATGCGAGGGATACTAACCATGACGATGCACCGTGCAAATATAAACTTGTATACAATTGTCAGTTCGAGTAATTGCAGCCCGTTTTCATACGCCGGCACGCAACCACTCAACACAGCCCAAATTGTCTAGGTTTTGGTTTCCTGCAGGAATTTGATCAGTTCAGTGAAGCCAAAAATAACAGGACATCTTGAACTATGGCTACTTTTGTGGCCTGCGTAATGGTTAAAAAAATGTTTTTTGTCGGTATTGTATTAAAGTAACGGCAAGGAAACGTACGTGCTGCTATGTAATCTTTACTTTAAGTTGGCTTGTGTTTTGTTTTCCATGTCAGAGCTTATCAAATCCAGTTCAAACTTTAGTTGGGTTATCTCTACCATGAATTAGAGGAGAGGTCCTCGATTTCCCCCAGACAACTCAAACAACCTCTGGGCTAGTCAAAGCCAGGGCACGGCTAACTGGTTACAGATTAAATTGAAAACTAATGAATTCTATTCGACTTCAATTTGGATCTTTTTTTTTCTTTTCTGTATCTGACAAAGAGTGGAGCATTTTGTTAGGGGTTACATAGTCTCCCCCGCAATGGTATGACACTTACAACGGCTGTGGGGGACGGAGACTAAGGGCACCACTGTCCGATGATATATAATATATACAATCAATTCTCCAAAAAAGTCTTCTTTGTACTAACAAGTACGTGATATACCGCGCTGGTCAGTAAACGTGGGGATTAATGGCCAAAGGAATCCTAACTGAATTGATCCTACTGTTCTATAGCCAGCCACTTCCTGAACGACCCACATACGATTTTAATCCTATAACGAAACTCTTTCGAGGATTTTTTAGCTATTTTATTTGCTTATTTATAGACTACACGACAACCTGACCATTATTGAGTATGGATTATGAGTTGGTGGTAATTTTGAGGGGGGAACCAAAATAGGATTAGTGGCAAGGGTTTTCCACCGACAAATTAAATGACATCCTGTCGGGGCACCCCGCGCAAGTCTTCTCCGGTTCACGACTATGTCGCATTCCCTTGAGTAAGCTTCTTCTTTATTTTTCTAACCAAGCAGCAATCTACAGATTCGACTTATTATCATTGCCAACACTTTTGTCTTATAAATATTTCAAGCGTCGAATAAAATAACATAGATACTAAAAAGAAGTTTTTGTACGATTTTTCATTCTTATGTTTTGAAGTTTTTAAATACTTTTCGAGTTGATTGTTATTTGATCGCGAGAAAATGTCGGCTACAAATTAACTCAGTTGAAGGTCATTTGGCTCAGTTTAAACCTTCAATACATGCTATTATCGATGCTCGTCATCAACAATGTAAAGGAATGAAGAAAAGCCATCAATATTGTTGATCACGAAAGAGTTAAATAAAAGCGAAAATGAAAGATTAATGTATGGAGCCATGACTTCGGAAATCGTCTCCCAACTTGTCTTCTCATCTCAACTGTATAACCGCTTTTAACATTTTCCTTCAATTGTGTATATTAAATGTGGCTAAGTAAAATGACCTTGGTGTTCTCTTCGTCTGAGATGTATTTTGAGTCAGTACAAGAATTTGATTTGAATGTTTTATCTGTTTGATCTTAGCTGTAAATGAGTTGACGATAATTACATCACTTACAAAACTGACCGCCCGTAAGAACTCCAAGTGAAAGATAAGAACTTAAACTCGACGAAGTCGCGAAGCCAAGAAATAACTATGGGTTCAAACTGTTTGGTCTTCACGAGAAGCTTAAGCTATGCTATTGTTTACAATGAGACAAAAGTACAATTCAATGAATTAATAAACCTCGTACAAACCGTAATTCAAAAGACAAACATTGTTGATTGTTATCTGTTGCTTCGTCTTTCAAATCATCAATTTTCGGGGTAATGGATATCCAGTAAATCTAATAAATACGTTCTTTATCGTAAACTAAAGGCCAAAATATGCTCCTTCGTGGATATACAACAAGTCGGACGAAGATTTCGGGTCTATTTTGCCAGAGGCGATAAATTAAAATATGGGCTCCTACTGAGTAAAAGTTGTCAAGATAAACGAAGTATTTTGTGGGCTGCCGCGTAGATTCTGTCAGTGCTGACTCTCAAATGAACGAAACATAAAAAGGCACCAAGTAACAACATTATAAATAATATGTTTGGCAAGAAATACTGCCAAAATACTCAAAGTTGAACAATATCCAATCTGAGTATATGRGGAAGACCTGCATTATCTTTGCCGGCCCATTTCTAATCACATATTCAAGATATGTCGCACTTCGTGTCTTTTCATCATAAGGACAGATCATGCACTAAGATAAAATTTAATACCTATATATTGTATTAATCCAATATGATAAAGTGTTGCTCTCCAAGATTTTATTTCTTGTTCATCATGCCAAGTACCTACTTAGTTTCAGTTGACCCTATATCGAGCATTCTGAACAATTACGCATCGTTAGCTTTTAGTCAGAAAGGACTCCTCGAATTCCCTGACAGTATATTATTATTGTAATTTATTGATTGTGGCTGTGTTTTCACTAGGACAATTTAAACTAGCTTAATTACGACACCGGAAATAAGGCAAAGTTAAACTACCTAGCAAGATGGTTTAAGTTGTCCTACCAAATAAATGGGCCAATCACAGTGTTATTCTTGAAAGGTGGGAGTCGGATTAAAACACCTCCAGGAATTTTACGCAAGTTAACATTTCTAGTGAAAACACAGCCTGTATAACCAAAGCAAAGGAAATCAAAATTATGATGTTTTAAAATTTGACACCCTTAACCAGCTCTCACTCTTGGTGGCGATCCTCTTATCTCTTGAGCTGTCAAATCGTTTATAAAATGACAGAAGACAGCGATTGTCTCCGAATGGCAAAATGAAAACCGCAAATTGTGATGGCGTGATTGCTGAAAGGTACTCAACCAACCCAACTTCTGCCACGCACGAATCTTCAACCCACGATAATAGGTTCATCGCTGGCGTTCGGGATAAAACGAAAGTCTACTTTACTTGTAAACACTACACAGGCTTTTCCAGCTTGGCATATGATCTTCAGTGGTACTCTTTGTGGCTCGCATTACTTCAAGTTTATTTGCTTAGCGATTGTTTCCTGTTTTCTGAACGCTAACAACCGAAACCACAAAGGATTGGTTTGTAGAAAGTGAGCATGTAGAGAGTCTTTGTTTGTGGGTTTTTTGATCTACGCAAGCCGCTCTGATAACTGTGAAACATTTAACCGTTTGACAATGGAACAGGTTCCCTGGCGAGCTATGAAAACTGTGATACCGCATTAGTTCAACGATGATGCAAGTTGTTCATTCAAACTCATAGCAATCATAAACAACCACAGCAAGACCTCAAGAAACATGGCCGAATTGAAAAACCAAAGCGATCAAAACGACAGCTCTCTATCGAACTTCACTCAAGAAAGTTTTGGAGAGGAATCCCTTGAATTTAAGTACTCTAAGGTTACGTTCTATTTTTTGATTCTCTTTTGTGCAACGTTCGGAAATTCAATGGTGATTTATGTTATTTGTACATCAAAGAGAATGAAAAGTTCTTCACATCTCTTGATCCTGAACCTGGCCATTTGCGATCTCTTTACCCCGTTAGTGAGTATACCGTTTGATTTTGCTTTAGAAGAGAATGACTACGTATGGATGTATGGCTATGTTATGTGTAAGATTCTCTCGCCGGCGGCAACTTTCAGCAGTACGGCATCTTCTCTCACATTAGCAGCCATTTCACTTGACAGATATCGCCTCTTGATGCATCCTTTCAAGAAGAAGCTCAGCTCTAACCAGATCAAGGGGATCATAATTGGTGTTTATATTTTCTCTGCTCTGGCTGTATCGCCTTACACCTATGGATTAAAACTAGAAAACAATTTGTGCCAAGAACAATGGAGCGGAAAACATTATCGACAAATCTACACACTTGCTTTGTTTTTGTTTCAGTATGCGATTCCACTGATATTCATGACTATCATGTATACTCTGGCTATCATTAACTTGCACTCGACCTCTGGGAAAGTCAAGCATTGCTCTATTATGAACAGCAGCAGACCGTGCGACACTTCAGGGGAGCCAACAGCTCCGAAAAGATTAACCAAGATCAAAATGAGCTTGAAGAGAAAGCTAAGCACCGCAGATGAAAACCCCAACGTCAGAGCAATGAAAATGTTCATGGCTGTCGTTACTGTGTTTGCCATTTTCATGTTTCCAAATCAGGTGTTGTGGATATGGGCAGACTTTGGAGATGGTGCTTCACAAACTTATTTCTCACAAATAGCAATCATTTGCTGGCTGTTCACGTACACCAATAGCGTAGTCAACCCGATAATATTTGCTATTTTCAGCAAAGATTTTCGAGTCGGATTCAAAGGAGTGTTTCGTCTTATTTTCTGTTGGAACAGCAAATCACTACCTGAGAGATGTCTTTCCTGTGAGGGACAGACTAAGACAGACTCTTCAACCAATGAAATGCTCAACGAAAAGAAAACTATGTACGACATATCAACTTGCCACAGTTATACCCACGAAAAAGATACCAGTTCTATACTGACAAAGAACTCTTCTCACGATAATGTTAGTGTATTTGACAAGACGGCAAATTTGAAAGAGAATTTAAGCTTGGAATCAAAGTTCTTCAATAAGCCAGCCCCTATCAAAAAAGTCGAATTACCACCATCCTACAGCGATCTTACAGAACACATCAACTCAACACACGTGCTTACTAAGGATTTATTGGACTTAGAGAATTTGAAAGAAAACGGGTTGTTGTCAGAGTTGGAAGTCGTACAGTGCAATGATGAACCTTTGGACAATCAATCTATAGGATCAAAAATGGATGATTCGGTAATCCCAGTATTGCACCCTAACGTAGTCGCTATCTTAGAATACTTGCCCGAGACTGATTGCTAAATAAAAACAAGTTCTGTAGGATGCAATAACAACAAAAGAAAAATATTTGATTACCGAGTGATTGGATATGATTAGGTCATTATACCATGATATGAGCTCCAAAACAATTGCTCCGAAAAACCGCGGAAAATAACTCAGGAACAGGAGAACAATAGAATGAATAAGTATAGATCAATCTCCTAAAAACCACAGAAATTGTCTTGAATACATAATAGTTTATTCAGGGTGTCAAGAACAAGGAGTTCACTGTTCCAAATTTCGACAAAGATTTATTATGTACAAAATACTGAATGCCCCAAAAATATCCAATTACATCGATTTTACAGCAACCATTTGTAACAAAAATGGTCATTGAATAAATAAGGCTACTCCGTAAGCAAAGATGACACCATCATACGTCTCAAACAATTCCTAGACAGTACACCAACGAAAGCTTTTGTTATCGAAGAAAAAATAACACCATATTTTTCTGTTTTTTCTATRTCGTTTAAACCAATTATGAGTCTTCAAGTCAAACGTCAGCCATTATTATAAAACACTCACTATGGACGTCTCATGAATCTGCTTGAATAGTATTTACATATCTTAACTTTGAGGTCAAGTTCTGTAATCAAAACATCGTTGTTTATCAATTCTCCAAAGCGGCAATTATATTTCGACTATTTCGTGGGTGAGTAACGGCTTATAGGTTTAATAAAAACAGCTTGAATTATAACGAGAAGTTGATCGAATTTTGCGTACTCCAAGTCAGTATGGCATAAAGATTAGTAAATTCATCCTAAATAAAAACAGATTTTTACTCTCCAGTTTTTATCTTTTTCAAAAAGAGTATTGATAACAAATCAATGAGATCTTGAATGGGAAGCAAAAAGACGCCCAATCTGTTATGAATAGTGGATAATAGTTCCGAAATATACTTCAAATACAAGTGGCTTAGTTAAAAGCTTAGTTTCAGTTAATCTTAAATGTTTCCTAAACGAAAAATAGATATATAAAATGCCAAATAAAGTCATTATTCTGTACTGCAAAATGATTTGATATTACAAGGCTACGTATTGTAGGCGCTAGTTTAAGTGAAGCCAGTCAGCCATCGAGAATGGTTCCGTTATTGTGGATTCCTTGGGTTTTGGCAACCAACAAAACAGAATAGCTTGCGTGCATTCATGCTTGCCGTCCCAATAAGACTTTTAAAAAATCTATGAGAGATGCATGCGGTAATATAAGGTTGGGTGTTGCCCAAACTGGCTCCCTTTTTGCAACTGTTATTTTGTTTCATTGTTTTTTGTCAGTTGCTGTTGTTGTATTGTTTCTTTATTATTTTTCGTTTGTTCATACTATAGTCGGATGTTCAAGTATTACTTGTGTGTTTGTATGTTCCTTTTGGTTGTTTGTTTATATGACGTTTGTTGGAGTTATAAATTTGATATATTGTTTGTTTGTCTTTCACGTTTAATTTACTGAATGATCTATTCTTTTCTTTCTGTTGGAATGTTTGTTTTTTATCAATCTTTTCTGCAGTCTTCTTTTTTACGTACGCATGGGATGCCATTTAAAACCATCTCAATAATTTTTGTTCACTTGTAAAAAATGTACCCACGCCTTCAATTGTGACGGCTCCACCATCCATGCAGCTTAGTAAAAGCGATACTTCAAGGACTTATTAACATTCATAATTGTCATTTGAATTAAAACCTGGTCTTATGTCAAACTTAATCAGATGAAGTCACTAATGCGCTCTTCGTATCAGGATCGCGGAAAGTAAGGGAATAAGCGGTCAATTTGTATCAAAGGTTTTCAAAATAAGCTCTTGACCTTTACCATTTGAAACGAGTCAAGTGTTGCTTGCTAACTCTCAAAAGCTGATAACATTATTAATGTGTCTTTATAGTTCAGACTAAACAAAGCGCAGATCGTCTTGTAATTATCTGCATGTAGTGTTATATATAGGTTCTCAATATGCTTATCAAAACTTTTGGTGATGATGATAAGATGCTTGGCTCTGCTCTGTCTACTGTATGCTTACGGTTCTACATAACGTTTGCGACTTTACCTTCTGTCACTTGAGAGCGTAGCTAGTGCTCACTGTGTCTGTCGTATACCTATAGCCTCCTGACCGGATCCGCATTTACACGATATCTTTACTCCTTTTTGAAAAAAAATGTTTTTAATTTCGACTGAAAAGTTTGCGTTTTACCGCCACCGACCAAATTCAACTAGACATATTTTCGATTTGAAACGCCTACAAGAACGAATTCCCTTATCAAAGGACGTTCATGGGCAAAAGATCATATCGTCAGATTTTTTTTAAAAAAACCTTGTATGATGAAAGTACATTATACGAAAAGTAAAATAAGATAGCAATGGGGGTCACCGATACCGAAACGGCAATGCACGCGCTGCTCGCACGCTATCTTTTCTGTTTGTTCGTCACCGTGACAATGATATCCATCTAAGCCTGCGGCTGTTGTCTTAAAACATAGCCCATGTTTCGTGTCATTGATCTTACATGACCATGCAAACTCACATTTCTAATAAAGGAAACGTGAAACGCCTTACTAGTTCAAAGGTGTGGATTCCGCGCCATGACGGTGTGGCTTTCCCGACCGCAGACCGAAACAACTGTCGTCTCAACCCACACGATGAGTACCACAGTCTTTCACTATATGCCACGAACAGGTTGAGTTGAAAGAGAAAAAATGACAGTCTATCTGGCCCTTTGGAACATACAAATCCCCACAACCCCTGCGCCCCGCGACAAAGAGCGGTTTCGCAGGCTACCTTTAATTTACAGCAAATATTTGAAACAAGTTTTGGTGGTTACCCTGTGGTGGCTCAGCGGTCTTCTCACACAAACCAACAAAGATGGCGGTATTTTAACGTGCGTTTTCTCTTTCTCTCTTTCCGCCATTTCTCCTTCAAATCATCACTTAAAACTTTACACATCACGTTTCCAGTGCAAGAAGATGAACCGTAGACTCAATAAGAGCCGGAGTCCTATCGTAAACGCTTCGTTTCAACGTCGACAACTCAGCAAGACCTCGCGTTCTGCCGGCACATGGGTGTTTGTCAACGTTATTCTCGCGACTTTCTTTCTCTCTGAGCTGTAAGTTTAACTTCAATTTCCTCATTTACTTGCTAAATTTGATAGTATTAATTATTGTTTAGAATTTTCTGTATACATTTAGTTGGTAGGAGCACTCTTTCTTTAGAACATGACCTAGGAGGGCCAGAGGGGATATACAGTACATGTACTGTAGTAACATTGACTGTCATTACAATGTACATTGAAAAATAGCGATTCTCTCCCTTCAAAGGGAAAAAAAGTGAGCCTTGCCTTTTTTCTTTCAGGTGTCTTCATTTGCAATATTTTGGATTTAATGAAAATACTGATAAGCTTACGATTTTTTTTGGCCATGTCACTAAATTCCTACAATTCCTCCACCTTTCCCCCTAAAATAAATGTACCGTTACACATGTACACATGTATTTGTACACATGTATTTTCAAAGTACATTAATAATCAATCTTGAAATTAACTGTTCCGAAGTTTAAGGAAAAAACCAGGTCGAGTGGGCATCTATTTTGTCACCTACAACATACCACAATCCACATACCACACACTCAACACAATTTTTTCCTCAACCTCTGAACGAATAATAGAATAAGGGAACCACTAATTGAGACAGGAACAAAGCAGTAGACATAAGCAAGCAAATTATGAAAGGGGTTTGAAAAGCTTGGAGTATTTCAAATATTTATAATTGATGGATGATCAATGTTTTTTGACAGTATGTGGGGGTCCATCGCTAGTTACCTGGAATGGCACCATCCCATTATATGGTATACAGGTGAGTTAATAATGATGGTATTAAGAAGAAGAAGAATGATAAAAACTTATATTGCACCCATATCCCTATAGCCCATAGGTGCTTTACAATACTTATGAAATAATTGAAAATATATTTAATAATCTAATAATAATAATGATCTAAAAAACTTCAGTTATATACAGCTATGAACCGATACAATGTGCTAATGCAGTATGATAGCGCACGTGACAAGTAATGTGATATATGGTCACAAGACCATACTTATGAAATAATTGAAAATATATTTAATAATCTAATAATAATAAATTGATCTAAAAAAACGTCAGTTATATACTGCTACAGCTGTACACTTGCTACACTGCTACATTGTTACATACATTGCTACTCAGCTACATTTACTATACAGTGCTACACATGCCACACTGCTACACTGAGACCTAAGATTCACATTGAGCAGCCTTTTTGGCTAGAACAAAACTCTAGATGTTTCCCTAATAACATTCCCTAGTGCTTTAATTAGGATAAGCTGATTAGAGCATAAACATTTCAGGTTTTTGATTTTTCTAAAAGTTAACATGGCTGTCATGTGGGAATGGTCTGGTTTTCATTTTCACTCTTTTACAAAACTATTTCATATGTAGTATTTGGAATATACAGTACAGTGCCTGTTGGGTAATAATGGAATGTGTTTTATATTTTTTCTAGAATGCACACTTGCAGTTTGGTTCACCATCAGTTTTATAACAGACTTGTTTTTGTACCTGCGACCTGTGGTAACAAGCAATACAGTCCTACTAACTCCACATCAAAAGAAGCTGCTTGGGATTAAACAAACAGGTCATTCGTAGACACTCTAATGAAGAAATAGAAAACGAGTGCGCATTGTGTGTGCAGTTATAAAGCATGCGGGTAGGCAGAAAGCAAGAGAAGTGTTTGGAACAGCACGACACATAGCAGAGTGCTTCTCAACACTTCTCGAGTGTTCTGCAATTCCCAAGTGCTTTATAACTCCACACAGCACAGCAAGCAAGTTTTTTATTTCTTTTATAAAATACATTTATTTAAACAACCCTATTTTGAATAGGAATGATGCAAGTACTGAACAGAACACGAGATTTATAACTGTTTTTATTTGAGTATATTTTGTGGAATTTTTGATTTTAAAGTTTCTCAAACCATTTGGCTGTCAAATGTAAAATATTTTTGTTCTACTGTACTATGCAGACGGTGGCTTTAAGGTTCTTACTCAAGACAAGCAGTCACCTTTATCGAATCAGTCTCCTCCCACATCACCTCTAGTTGCACCATTAACAGAGTGTACTCCAAGAGGTCTCTCTGTCACCCCTCCCAAGGTATGTTTAAACTACATTTATATTAAAGCTGATTGGCCATAGTTGTTAGTAAGTTATATATGGTATTTATGAAAAATTGTTGTTTTTTTTTTAGTCCAGTAGTAGTTCCCCTAGAATATCAGGCTATACTCCACCATCGTACTATGACAAGGCCACACCAGACACAAGGTAATAATGGACAAGTTTTTATATTTAAAGAAAAGATAATGATAAAAGACCATTAAAGTCCTCAAATTTGATTGATACTCTGAAACAACGTGACTTGGCTGACAGTTGGCCGACTATCGGCTGTCTATCGGCTGTCTATTGGCTGTGTGTTGGCCAAGCATTGGCCGGCTATCGGCCGTGTGTTGGCTGTGCATCGGCCGAGAACAAAACCCGAAGAAGCACCAAGACTGTCGACCGTGTGTTGGCCGATGGTCGGCCGATACACGGCCACACACGGCCGATAGCCAGCCAACACTCTGCCAGCACACAGCCGATAGACGGCTGATAGTCAGGCAACTGTCAACCAAGAGTCGGGCGATAGTCGACTGACACGTGTCGGCTGGTCATGAAGTACACGATTACCGGGCTGATAAAAGTGAGGGCATGGCAAACTCACAAATTGAATAGTAATTTAGCTTTTTGGGTTTATATTATGGGATGAAAGAGAAAACCTGGAAATTAAGTCCTGATTTAAGAAAGTGGAATACATGTAATGAACTCTACTGAGATCTGATAAACAGTTCAGGAATCAAGCCGAGACGTCAGACGTTGTTTTGAACGATAGCATATTGGAAACCACCCTTTATTAATCCCAAAGATGTTTAACACTCTAATGATATAATTATAACTTATTGATAAAGTAATGCTGAATTGTTTCTGTTCCTTTCTCCTTTAAGTTTAAGATCAAGACATTCTTCACCAAGAAAGTCTCCTTGTAAGTTGATAATGTAGCTGGAATACATATATATCACCTCTACATGTACGCAAGGGCGGATCCAGGGGGAAAGGGGGGCTCTTTCCCGTTGTGTTGATGGAAGAAGTTCAATTAGCCCCCCCCCCCTAAACTCAATTAGTCCCCCCCCCAAAAATTTTGGCTAGATCTGCCCTTGGTATAGCATAGTCACAACACAAAGCATCCCTAAAGTTTCTTTTATTGGTTTTTCCTTTAATGTAATCTAGATTCCCCAAGTGATTGTATCAACAACTTGAACAGTTTGAAAGAGTATTKGAGGGAACAAGAAGAAGAAGAGAACAGGTTACAAAGAGGTGGGAAGCTTTTCAAAACATTGAAGTCTTGTGTACAATATCCACATTTATCTCATTAGGCCTGAAATCACCTACATGTATGTTATGACCTCAGTTGACAATTGCCTGAATCCTCGTGATTGAAACAGTAAGCTACATACACAGACTCAGTAGTGTACTGCTTATTAAAAGTGCTTGTCTTTTTTACACCTAGGTGATAAATGCGATACTGAGTCTGTTTATGTTGCTCATGATTCCAATTCTTATGCTAGTGTGAAACAGGCTTTGTAAGCAATTTCTAAAACCCTTGAAGAAAAGATTTTATCTGGAAATAGCATAATAATAAAAGTGATAGTCCTGTTTCTGAACTGAGAGAAACTTCAAAGGTGTTCCTTTAGTAACATAATTTCCAAGGTTTTGTATTTTTTTCTCYGTAGGGCTCTTAAGATCTTGCCCATTTTTGAATCTGAGCATGCGATACTTTTGATAGTGCTTGCGCATCTCAGAAATCATCTATTGCATTAGAGCCAACTAACATTAGAATACTCACACTGAAGGAGGTCTAAGATCGGACCAAAACATCTGCACAAGGTTCATTAAAAAATAAGCCACAGTCAATTTGTCTAATTAGAATTTTCCTTTATAATCTCTGTTGCAACTTTYATGTRCTCTTGTTCCTGTATAAGTTTTTCTCATATTTGTAAATGTTAAATGTTTTTTATTTTGCTTGACACAGCTTTATCAGACTCCCTTTCACAAAGTCGTAGTCCATCCTTTTGGTCACCATATCGAAATGATTTCACACCTCAACTAGGTGTATATAGAATTGCCAGAAGGTATAGTATTGATTATTTGTTAACTTTTGAGGTAATAAGTATTTGTAAACATACTACCCTGCAAAGTCCTGGAATAAAAAAAATATCCAACCTGGGAATAAAAGGTCATGACTTTCCAGCTCTTGTCTGGAATTGGTAATTTTAAAAACTGAATTTCAGGATCGTATCAATTTTACCCACATGTAAATATAAATTTGAAGAATAAACCTTATCAGCTTGGTGAAATTTCCCCCCATCTTTGAAACTACCTGTCACTCCCTTGAGAATAAGATTCTTTGTTTGAGTTGTTGTCATACACTGTATTCACATATCTTCTCAAGCATTACAAACAAACGAAAAAAGCAATACTCAAGGTAATGACAATTTATGAAATTGGAAATATTATGTCAAAGCTCAAATGGTTCATATTTTGTGTTTACAGCACTTTCCAATCCTAATCAAAATCGAAGTCACAATTTTTTGTCTCAACTGACAGTCTCTAGAATTAAGGTTTTGGTGGACGTCAATTAAGTGTTACATGTACAATGACATTGTTGGAAAATACAAAGTTTTCAAGGGCACATGCCAATGGAATGTGGTGAAAGAGCCTTGATTGACGTCCACCAAAACCAAGTTTGTCACGACAGCAAGTTGTCCGATTTCGCATGTGCGATTGTGATTGTTCTTTACTTTGTTTATCTTCTGTAGATCTCCTGATTCCAGTCTATCAAGGGATGATGATGATTCAGCATATTCATCAAGCAGAGCAGAAGAAGTATGTGTTTTACTTAACATCCATTTTCACAGTTTCTTCTAAATAACAACCTCCATCATTCAGAATACTATCTCAAACCTCTGGAAATTTGATGTGTGAAGCCAAAAATATAGAATCACGGATTACAGCAAGTTGTTTTCGTTGATCAATTATGACAATGCATATAGATAATAATTTTTATGCCAGGCGCAAATATTATGTTGGTGGTGCTTTGTGTAGAGCTCATCTTTTATAACCTTTGTAGATGTGGCTGAGGATAGGTGTGACAAGAGAGGATCTTGATTACTGGACAGAAAACTGTCGCAAGGCAAGTTAAGGTTTTGCTATCTCAAATAGGGATCGTTGTTAACACAGAAATTGTGCCGTTTCATACTATATACCTCTTTATTATTATTTTTATTTATTTTTATTATTATTATTTTATACCTATTTAGCTTGGGCGTAATGTTTTCCCATTTCAGGTCATGTGTCTTTTTTTTTTTTCGAGAATAAGACTACATTCCTGGTCTGAACTGTATCTTAGAAAAGCAAAAACTCCGCCTACATGCAACAGGTTTCGTAAACTAAAATATCTTTTCTAGCGTGACTATTTTTTTTTTTCTTTTTTAGTGGCTCTGTCAGACGATTCTCCAACGTTTAGTAGAACAGATAGACTCCATTAATGATACCCTCTGCAAAATTGGATGTCAAGAGCTGCAAGTTGGAAGTAAGTCTTTCTTGAGATACTACTTCGAATATAATGCAAGTCTTCCTTCCTAAGCTAAATGGCCATCTTGGGTTTTGAGGGGGAGGGGGAGGGGGAGGGGAGGAGTGAGTAGTTGTAGTTGGAAAACGTATGGATGGTTCTGAAAGGTATGACTTACTATGAAGTCTAGTATTTTTATTAATCTACCTTGGCTAACATTTCAACAGTTTTATGTCTTTGTAAATCAAGTGTTTCTCTAACAACAACAACAATTTTCGCGAGCTTTCGGGAATTAGTGCCTATCTTCAGGGATTATAATGGTATTACTCGTCATTAACAGATCTTATGTTTGAAATTATATGCGCGAGTGCGCGCGATCAAAGTTGTGTTACCTCGCGCGCGCTCTAATATTGGTAAATAGCTTGATGGTTAACCTCTACCTAAGACTCTAGCCATTTTCTTTAATGGTACAGGTGTATCTTTCTTCATTTCCGATGATTTTGGTGTCTTTCCATGATGTCAGGACAGGCCACGGGATATCATGCTCAGCTAGCTCGCATTTCTGGCTCTTGTGGTCGTACACATAAAATCTGTAAATGACGAATAGTACTATAATTGTAATCCCTAAAGTTGGGCGCCAATGCTCGATAGCTTGGAAATGAATTATTTTTGGTTGAAGAAGCATTTAGTTTACAATTAAAACAAACCAACACCGTCAACAATTCTGTGTCTGTCTGCCTAGCCATCAGTCTCAGTTCACTACGACATGTCTCTCAAGCCAAGGCTGAACAAGTTCCATTCCTTCAAGTAATCATACCTTATTTGGAAGCTTCAAATAACCAGGAGTATCTTGTGCAAAGAATTCGAGGTACTGTATATGACGATATAGAAAATATTAAATAGACAGGCAGTGTTTGCCATTCTCTAAAGACTAATAATGGCATTCAATTAGTTGATTGATACCAAGCAACGCGCGCACGTCTCCCCGATTAGTAGGACGCTTATGCCCGGCTAGAAGAATTCGAGACATTAATAAAGTTATTATTATTATTATACGTTTTGTATTTCTTCTTTCGTGTCCAATATAACGGCTACTCGAATACTATTTTAAAAAATTTGCTTGCTGAGTTGTCTGATGCTATAAAATACTTGAGGATTGGCAGAACACAAGAGAAGTGTCAAGAAGCACGACGCGGAAATAAAAGCAGGCGCGTGCTGTTTGCTCTCATAATGCACGAGCTCCCAACCAATCAAAACGCAAGATTTTTAACAGTTTTTCTATAATTACGGTAATCATTTTCGTTGACAGAGCTCGCCAAAGGAGGCTGTATGAGCGTTTTTAGATGGAACTCTGGCGGAAAATTCAGAGGCAAGGACTGGGAGTCAGACCTACTCACAGACTCACAGGTTGGTTATGAAATGTTGGACATGTTTACTTGCCTTCCTTGAAGATACGTAACTTCCCTTTGTACTACGCATCCTGCTCGCCGCTTCCATCAGTAGTTCTCTTGCAGAAAATTGCAGTTTGAACATTTATTTCCTAGGCTTTATAGAGGCATAGGAGTGACACTAGAGAAAAACGTTTGCGCATGCGTTTGTTTTCTCCAAGTATACAAAAAAGTTCGAGAGTATACTTTTGTCAGACAAAGATACTGTATTAACAAACACAATATGAAAGAATTAGCCTTAAGTTTCAAGCATGGACACTAAGTTTTGGCATTTTGTGAAGTCCAATTAATCAGGCATGTTTGAAAGTCAAATTTACTTATGTTTTGACTAATTTGCATACGGATTCAGAGCATGCGCATACTTTTTTCACTCATGTCCATAGAAATACTTTAATCATATGCAGATACATGCTAAGCTTGCATTGGATTAACCTCCTCCACGGCCGTCATTATTCGGTCCCAGATCCTCACGGGCCCTCTCCACTAGGGGACTAGTATTGCATGCTTTTAAATCCAAGTTTGTGTTAATGAACCCATTGCCGTACTGCATAACTGAGAGGGTCGAGATGTATCTGTATATGTTATTATATTGTTTGTGGGTCACAGAATAGTGGCTGGCTTTTCAACAGTCATTCGTTTACCATCTTTCTTCATAGTTTTCACTAGTATATGTGGTCTATCGTGGTTATGTATGACTTTTCTTGAAGATAGTGCGGGATCCTTGCTACCACTATTCCTCCATCTTACTACAGCGATAAGTCCCAGGATGTCAAGTATTTACTAACGTCTATATGCCATTAATCACATTTAGATAGTCATGCACATGTTTTGTACCTACATGGACTCGAGGCTGCCCGCTGATCCACGGTTCCCGGATGGTGGTACCTTTACTGGGCTTCATTTTCTCAAGACACCAGACAAACCAGGTATGTGAATTACTTACACCAACGGATAGAGTGAGTCCCAGTTTCTTTACTTTTAACACAGCCATAAAAGCCATAGCAAAATTATCCTAATATGTTCCAGCTGATCTTCAGAACGAATTCAAGATCAACCAATCAGAATTGAGGATTTGACACTGTATTTTGATTAGCATTTCCCGTGATTCTAACAAGAGACCCATGAAATACAAATTCTTCATTCTTTACAATTGATCGTAAATGCTGCTTGTCGAACCCATGCATGTTGGAATTCAATTTCAATCGACGAGAGAAATCTAGATTGTACTCACCCCCTGCTAGGAAAATGCTAATTAAAATAGTTGACCTATAATTCCTTTGGAAAATGCTGTCAACTCAACTGGTGCCTTTGCCCTCCYCCCACCGAGAAACAAAGTTTTGATTCCCCTCTGATAGAAAGGTTGAGTAGCGAACTAAGAAAGTATTTTTGACATCAACTTTTTGGTTTTAACTTTCTCTTCCCCCCCCCCCCCCCCCCACGAGAAACAAAGTGTTGAATTCCCTCTGATAGAAAGGTTGAGTAGCGAACTAAGAAAGTGTTTTTGACATCAACTTTTTGGTTTTTACTTTATCGTCCCATTTTCTTCACCATCTTCACCTCCTTACTCTTTTATCTTGTTTTACAGATGCCAGGAAAAGCGATTTATGCATTTACATGTCGCGGCTTCACCCTCCACACTATAAGGTTAGTTTCTAGTTCTCTTCAACCTCTTTAATGCTTCCGCCGTCTTAGTACGACCACTTATAGACTTCATCCACTTCTTATTTTTTATTTATTTTTATTTATTTTCCTTCTAGGTGGTTATAGAAGATGAGGTTTTTGATTTAGCAAAGGTATTTCCCGCTTACACTGGTCTGTTTGTCTCATCTTCCCTCGAGAACGTATTTATTTCCTCCTTCAACCCAACCCGTGTCTCGTTCTTGTAGCATAGCTTCTCCTTTTTTBCCCACTTCTCCAGCTTCCTCTAGTCTAATTATCCTCCCCCCCTCCCCCYCCCCMCACACACGCGCGCGCGCRCACACACACACACCCTGATCTATATCCAATCTCCTTTACAACAACATCAACAGACTTTAAAAGCTAAGCTAAGCTGTGTGTGTATTTATTGTCGTCGTTTGTTTGTTTGTTTTTTCCTCATCTTTTTCTCATCTTTTACAAGCCCCAAACGTCTAACTGCACAGGCTGCTCTTATTAACCTACAGTACTCTCTTCTCCAGGGTCGAAATAACTTATTCCACGCTATCATATTCTTTTTAAATCACGTCAAGACAAATCAAAATGGAATGTTAGGGTAAGAACTTTCACACTAGCTTCTATTTTACTAATCTTTGATTTAAGTGACAAGAGATCTGGGGTGCTTACCATTTACCCGAAAAACTGAACCGGAAATTCCTGTTGGAAAACAAATAGTATGAATAATTCCGATCGGAAAGTTCCGGTTCCACTTTTCCCGCTCTTTTTAGGTAGACGGGTAGACGCGCGTACATTTTTTCGAAAGTCAAAGTTTCCCGCCCCTTTCTTACCATTAGCGAATTAATTTCCAACCGGATTGATTGGTTTAAATGGTAAGCACCCCTGATCTGTTGTTGTTGTTTTTTTTTTTCTCGTTTCACAGCCGCGTTAACTTGGGTCTATCGGGAGTAAATATTCTCTGTATCATCAACAAGAAGTAATTAAGGAAAGAATATCCGCCATTCAGGAGCAGAACTCTGGTTGGATCAATGTCGGAAGCGCAGATAACAAGTTGAGGACGTCATGGAAAATAGGTGTTTCAGGCGCTATAATATTCATCAAAATCAGTCTTTTCTTTCCCAGGTTTCTTGAACCTCCTTTTGTTGTGTTACATCTTGGGGACCTCTGTGCACAAAGGGACAAGCTCCTCACGTCCACAATTTTGATACATTTTACTTTTGATTCTTTTTTTTTTTTTTTTTTTTTTTTTTTTTTTTTTTTTTTTTTTTTTTTTTTTCTTTTGTTATATCTTTATTTTGATACTATTGGTGTTTATATTACATTAGCGCCAAATTTAGACTGAGGAGGGTGGGGAGGTGAAATAAAGATGATCATTTTTAAGAAGGCTATTGTAGCTTGCCTCTTCGCGCAAACGTGCTCGCTTTTTTAATATGGAGTGGAAAGGCAGAGAATCGGGACAAGGACAGGAATCAGGACAAAGATAGGAACATGGAAAAGGAAAGGAATCGGGACAAGGACAGGAATTGGGACAAGGACAGGAATCGGGACAAGGACAGGAATAGGGACAAGGACAGGAATCGGGACAGGGACAGGAATCTGGTCAAGGACAGGAATAGAGACAAGGACAGGAATCAGGACAACGACAGCAATCGGGACAACGACAGCAATCGGGACAACGACAGCAATCGGGACAACGACAGCAATCGGGACAACGACAGCAATCGGGACA